GGGGATGGTTGGGGGGAGGGGGGGAGAGAGAGAGAGAGATTTACAATAGATCTTGCCTAAATATTTTTCCTGAAGTATCAAATTTTAAAACATTTTTGTTCACTCAGTACACAAGTTGCTTCTAGGCTGGATGCTACGGTTAAAAAAAAGATCAAAAAAGTGAGTTACAATGCCTGTCTTTGAGGAACTTACCCCGTGGCTGATGAAGCAGTGTTTGCTTATATAAAAACCAAAGCCCTCTACTCATTTGGATAACAACTTTAGACAGCCATTAAAATGTTTTTATTCTAATTGCTTTTCTGGAACTTTATTCTAAAGGCATCATTTAAATTATGGAGAAAAAACTTATTACACAAAACATACTCAATTACAGCATTGCTTTTTATGGCAAAACATTGAAGCAACTTTTATGTCCCAGAGTTAAGGGGATGGTTAAGTAAACAGTGGCTGTTATATTTATCTGCTAAATGGAAATGTTATGTAGCTATTAAAGAATATAAAGATATATACAGCTAATTATAAAGATTATACAGCAGGATTAAATGCTTTTGCAATACTGCCAAATGAGAAAACTGATAAACACATTTTTATTCGTATCTCCATAAAAACAGATATTCTAAGATAACTAGATAGGGATTTGGATATATGATAAAACATTATGGAGGAAAAGTGGGTGCCTTTTAATACATGTGTCTAAATATTGTTATTTGGTAACATGTTAGCAACTTAAATGTATCTTTAGATGCTGTCATTGGATAATCTAGCATTCGTCAGTCGACTTTTGCTTTATAGGCTGATAGTGTCATATGGCTGTTAAATGATATGACCTTAATACATAATCCAGTAAATTCCTTCTATTTCTGTAGAGAGCACTGCTTTTCAAAGGGCTTTCACATTTGGTCATTGCAACAGCTACTACTTACTGAGAATCCTTATACATTGTAGCAGACAGCTTCTAAAATGGCTCCCAGTAATAATCTCCCCTATCTAGTACTCATTTCTATGTGTAATTCCCTCCACTCAAGTGTGGGCTGGACCTAGCGACTTGCTTCTAAACAACAGAATACAGCAAAGGTGATGGTATATCACTTCCAGGGTTAGGCTATAAAAGACTGACTTCCATCCTGTAGTCTCTTTCTTTCTCTGACTCTTCTGGCTTCCTTGCCCTGTTCATGTAAGCTACTGTGTTGTGAGCTGCCCTAGGGAGAACTAAGGCAGGGAACTAAGGACAGTTTCCAATCAACAGCCAGTGAGGATTATTGATCCCCTTAGCCCCAAAGCCTGTGAGGAACTGAATTCTTCCAGCAACCATGGAGAGAGCTTAGAATCAGATCCTTCCACAGTTGAGCCTTCAGATGAGACCACAGCCCCAGTTGACAACTTGAACACAGTCCTGTGAGAACCAAAGGGCCTAACTAAGCCATGCCCAGATTCCTCACCCACAGAAACTGTGAGATCATAAGTGCTGCTTTAAGCCTCTGAACCTTGAGGGTGAATGCAGTAATAGATAGCGAATAATTCTTACCTTACATACATCAGTCTTACCTTGCAAGACTTACCTTACATACATCAGTCTTACCTTACCCATTTTACAGGTAAGTACCGCGATGCTCAAACATATAAGCAATTTGCCCACAGACTGCATGGTTGTTGGTGACAGAACTGTGGTTCAAACTCAGATCTGCCAGACTTCCAAACCAATGCTCCTCCCCAGCTCTCCCTAGACTATGCTGTTTCATTTGATTCTCAAAGGCAGAGAAAAGTAATGCGACACATAACGGCTCCCTAGAATCCGGTTGTTTATCACTCTGGCAAGTCATTAAGCATCTGAAAACTCCTTGGAGATTAGGAACAATTTTTAAGCTGCTTCTCCAATAAGACAGAGCCCAGGGAAGTAAAAAAGCTGTTTTCTCACCAGTTAAAGCTTATTGTGATGCTAGGAAAAAGCCCCCTGTGGCGCTGCCTCTAATCTGCATACTTTTTGGACATTTCTTTCTGAAATGAACTGACTCCTTATGAACTAAGTCCCTTATGGGAAGGATGGATAAAAGATTAGGAGTATTTCCAAGAGACCATTTAAGTAGCCTGACCCCCACCCCCCATCTTGTTGTTTGAATTTTTATCTTCTTCTCAGGCTGTCCCTGGAGATGTGAAAGAGCCCTTCTGATGGTGGCTGAGAGGGAAAGACACTACCATTTTCCTGACCAATTCCTTCTCAGGCCACAGTGAGAGGTATTTTGTACATGCTGCTTCATTTTATCCACATACCAAGCCTTTTAGCAGAGTATTTGCATCACAGTTTCACAGATGAGAAACACAGTGATGAAAACTCTGAGGAGTCTGCCTCTGGCTGTCATCTGACAGGGGATGAGAGCCATGTGGAAGCTGAGAGAGTCACTTCCCCTTTTTGGGACTCTGAAAGAAACTCAGGACAGGGCTCTACTGTCAAATAATACTGTGGCAGGGGAAAGTCTGCAAAAAGAGATGTTGCTCCCAAGTAATCATTTATAAAATGGTGTGACAGGCTCCAGAAAGCTCAGTAGCACATGGGAGACTTGTCTCCCTTGTGACCAGAGAGATTTTTCTTTTCTTTTCTTTTCTTTTTTTGATTTTGAGTTGGAGTCTCACTCTGTTGTACAGGCTGGAGTGCAGTGGCATGCTCACAGCCACCGCAGCCTTGACCTGCTGGGCTCAGGTGATCCTTCTGCCTCAGCCTTCTAAGCAACTGGAACTACAGGTGTGTGCCACAACATCTGATAATATTTTGATTTATTGTAGACATCAGGTCTCGTCGAATTGTCCAGGCTGGTCTTGAACCTGTGGGCTCAGGCAATTCTCTCACCTCCGCCTCCCAAAGTGCTGGGATTACAGGTATGAGCCACTGCATCCAGCTAGAGAGATCTTTCTAAAGGACTCCTCTGCTTACAACCCTTTGCCATTGGCTAGGCATGGTGGCTCACACCTGTAACCCCAGCACTTTGGGAGGCTGAGGTGGGAGGATCTCTTGAGACTAGATGTTTCCAGAGGTGGTGTCTGTTGCCTTTTCTGGCTTTGTCTCTTTCCTTCCCCTCTTATGCCCCCTTAGTACCACCATTCATAGTGTCTGAGGTTCACGGGCTTTCAGCTGTGTGCCCCAGTACATCCTGGGTGCCTTTCCAAAGTGAATGACTTGCAGTTGTTGATTTAGATGTACGCTCTTTTAGGCATTTGCTCTGGGCTCTCCACCCTGACCCTCACAGTCTGTGTCCTTGGGATCCCTCTGTACCTGGAGCCGGCTAGTGATGTCAATTCTACCCTGGGCTTGTACCTTACCTGTTCATGTACACATACATGTACCTTACATGTAGCAAGTCAGCAGAACAGCACTGTCTAACAGAAATATGGAGCAAACCATGAATGTGGCTAAAAGTTTTCTGATTGCCATATTAAGAAATGTAAAAAGAAACTGGTGAAATTAATTTTAATAATATATGTTCTTTAACAAAATATACTCAAAAGATTATCATTTCAATATATAGACAACATCATGAAGTACTGAGAAATTTTACATTCTTTTTCTTTTTTTGGACTATGAATTTAGAATTCAGGGCACATTTTAAATCGACAATATATCTCATTT